TGATATTGAAATACCCGACCTAGAAAGTTTGTATAAAGTTGGTCCTTGTTATTCTCATGATCAAATTACAACGGAGCATCATTATCACTTTGATGTTTTCAATGAAACAATAGATTTCGTATTGATGGAATTAAATACAAGATTTAATGACACATCAGTTGAATTTCTCACACTCAGTGCAACTTTAGATCCTAAAAATTCGTTTGAATCATTTAGCATTCGTGATATTTGTACACTTGCTAAAAAATTCTATCATCAAGATTTTCCAAAGCAAGATATTCATACTTTGGAATATAAGTTGAAACATTTTGAGCTCGATATGAAGAGTGAATCTCAATTTCAAGTATCTACACTTGTTGAACTATGTCGACAGTCAACTGAGAGTGGCAGGTCGGAGACTTATATTATGGTTACTCGATTTATTCGTCTTGTACTGACTTTACCCGTTTCTATGGCAACTACTGAGCGAGCATTTTCAGTAATGAAACACGTGAAGACGGATCTTAGTAACAAAATGGAGGATGACTTTTTTGCTGATTGTATGACACTCTTAATCAAACGAGAGCTTGCTCTAAAGATAGATATAGATTCTATTTTAGATGAATTTTATGTTTCAAAACCTCGTCGTGAACAACTTCAAATTAAACGAATTATACTTTAATTCATATATGAATTTACTATATCAACTTTTAAATTTTAGCCCTTGTGCCGAAAATTCCCGGATCCGCCCCCCCCCCCCGATTAATCCCAAACAAGCCCTCCACTATGTAGCTCTCTCTAGGGTCAATCTCTGTATCTCTACCATCACACATTTTTTTCCCTCTCTTTAGTCTCTACCCACCCTCACCAAACCCCTAGCACGAAGCAAAACTGTTGGAGAAAGCCTACACATATAGCGGTTCGCCATGTACACAGCAGTTCACCGCTGCAAGCGATGGAGCAGAACTCAAGTCGCAGGGCTGGCCCTGATATTTTAGAGCCTTATGCCAACTTTAAATCCGGGGCCCTATTGAAGAAAAAATATCGTATTTTTACTTGAACTTCCTATAGAGAACTTTAATATAATTATGAAAAATCTAATACAAACAACTAAACCCCAAAATTTGAAGAGTGATATAATGAATTGTCAAAAGTTAACATGCAATACAAATTATAAGTGGAGTTTGGTATACTAAATTATAATGCAATGGCAAAGGGGTCTGTTCGTTTCTTTGATCATTTTCTCACTGCAACCATTTAAAATAAAATTGAATATGCATTTGAATGATTTATATACAAACTAACAAAATGTTGACTACGAGATATTGTATAATAAAATAATAAAAATGACGATCAAATACAAATGAGCCCCTAATTTTATATTAATTCATACTAAATTAACTTAAAACTAAGAAGTATGAACACGGACAAAAAATTATTAAATTCAAAGTACCTTTAACAAGCATCTAAAAGGTTATTATCATGATATTAAAACAAAACAATAATAATAACAGCCTATAAACTTTGTAATATAGAGAGTGTATGACACTCATTTTTATGGAAAAATAAATTTTAGAATAGTAGATTGATGGAAAATGTGTGGATAAAAAATAATGAAAAGTTTTTTATTTATGTATAATATCATTTTAATTAAAAATGTGTGGTTAAAAAAATAAAAAATATATTTTGATAAAAATGAGAATTAAATGCGGCATATGTTTTGATGATAAAGGATAAATTGAAAAACTTGTAACTTGTAAGGCTACGTAGTGATACTAGACCAATATGTTAAATTGAATTTTCAAAATTTTAATTCCACATGGAATAATTCATTTCTTGTTTGGTTGAGAAAGATTACGATGGTTACTGTTGGACATGAAATTTGAAGAGACAAAGAGACATTTTTGTTTGGTTAAGGAAAGAAAATGGATGCTTGGAAGATAAATGGTCAAATTACTTAGAAAGAGAGTAATATTTGTGATAAATTTATATGATAAATAAATGTAAGTAATAAACTTTATGTCATTTATATGTTTTTTTTGAAGATTTTTGTATTTTCAATTTTTATTAGTTTCTTGTGTTTTTAGTCAACCAATTAACCTTACATAATTTGGGGCCCTCATCAAAGTGAGACCTTAGGCGATTGCCTATCTCGCCTATAGTTAGGGTCGTCACTGTCAAGTTGGTATCTTTTTCGATGCAAATGCGCACAACGGTAGTTACTACTAGTAGTAGAGGTGATATGTCACCATCATCTATAGAGCCAACTGTGAGTCGAACATCGATGAGTTAATCACAATTCTACTTACATTCAACATAAAAAATGCAGCGACATAAGCAGTGGTGATTTGACTACCAATGTCAGTAGAGCAGATAGCGAGTTGACCACCGGTATGAGTGGCGCTTTGCTACAGCAGTAGCGTTGAACCGAAGTTGTTGGTTCTAATATATGACCAGATTTGATGGTTGTTGTTGGTCGTGGTTATGCAGCCGTGCCGCTGCAAAGTAAGAAAACTGCAATTGGAGTTGGTGGCACCAGCGAACCTTTTCTAATTTGTGGTGGTTTTTGAACTATGGGTGTTCCATTGGTTGTAAAGGTGGTTATACATCAAATTGTTAGTGGTGGTTCTATTGGTGGTGTGATGCCGATGATGGCGGCGATGGTGTTTGTTGAAGGAGTTGGTGGAAATGATGGTGATGATGATTGTTGTTGTGAATTTGAGGTGAAATTAGACTTTAGTTGAAGATGGTAATGGTGGTGGATTGTGGTGTTGGTCTTGGTGTTTGAAGATTTGTTTGTGGTGATCCTTTGTGACCAAGTATGTATTTATTGTGATCAAGTGTGAACAATTTGGTATTCATTTTGATCGTTTGTGACCAAATTAAAAGTGAGTCACAAATTAGATTGATCTAGTCACATACAGTCACACTTAATAAATATTTGGTTATAATTAGTTACTGATAACACATGTCAATGACTTGGTTACATACAGTTACAAATTACACTAAGTTGGTCACAAACAGTTTGNTTATAATTAGTTACTGATAACACATGTCAATGACTTGGTTACATACAGTTACAAATTACACTAAGTTGGTCACAAACAGTTTGGTTACCATTAGTCACAGATAAATTTTATTATGCACATACCCCTCTAAATTTTCAAATAATTTAACAAGTTTGTTAGTTTTTGACTCTTATATATAAGAGATATATATTGTTCCCTTAAGTAAAATCTTGATTTACTTGGTCAAACTATCTTATAAGTTCGACTGGTCCAACTTATTGCTTATTTTAGATTGGGCTTAAAATCTGCCATTTATCTTATAATTAAGACACCATGTTTGTGTGGGATTTGGACTTATAAGCTAGCAAGAATGATATAATAAGAATCGATGCTCATCTTATATTAAGAACCGATGACATATGTCATATTAATTTATTGGTGGATAACAAATTTAATTCTAATGTTGGAACCCACAAGATCTTTAACTACCAAATAATTAATATAATACGTCATCGGTACTTGGCATCGGATGAGCACCGATTCCTAGTTTGATCATTGTTATGATTCAGACTAGACTTGAAACCATTTTGTTGAAAGTGAAACAACTTTGATTCCAAATTGTTGAGAATTCAGCCAAATAATTAAAAAACGAGAAAATATGGATAATATGAAAATAATGGATCGCCAAAAAAAAAAATAAAAAAAATAGAAGACTTATGTAGAATCCCAAATCCTGGAAAATTACGGGTAAAGGTGGAGAATTCATTATAATAAATAGAAAGGAGTTACAAAAGATCTATTTGGATAAATAACTATTTGGACAATTGATCAATTCCAATATATGTTTTACACAATTTATTTATAGCCACAGAATCCCTAATATACTAGGATAATTAATACATGAAGAGTTTAATATAGGGTGAAGTCTCAATACAATAGGTAAAATCAATAATGGAGAATTTAGGATGAAATAAGACTCAAATTCACCTTAGGCTTCTTCTAGACATGTTCAAGTTTATATTACCAACTCCCAATACTATATTTTCAATCAAATACTCAACAAAAATTCGAGTCACAACCCAATTCCAATAATCAATTTATCTTATTTTTAATATTTGAATTCCATTTTGAAATGTCAACTTGTTAATAGAGATAGTCTATACCATTCTATTTAAAAATAAGGGTAATTAGCACAAAACGTCCCTACCTTTCATGATTTTTGTGGAAAACATCTTTACCTTTCGTTTTTTGGCGCATTTCATTCCTACCTTTACCTTTTCTTGTGTAAAACATCATTTTTCTCAATAAAAAGTTATAAAATGACTAATATACCCTTCTATTTAAATAAAATAAAAATAAAGAACTAAATGCAATCATAGTTCCCAATAAAAAAATAAAAAAATTCTCCACCTCCACCTTCTCTTTTGAACTTTTTTAAAAATTGAAACTATGATTACAATTAGTTCTTTATTTTTTTTATTTAAATAGAAGGGTAAATTAGTCATTTTATAACTTTTTATTGAGAAAAATGATGAAAATGATGTTTTCCATAAGAAAAGGTAAAGATAGGGATGAAATGTACCAAAAAACGAAAGGTAATGACTTTTTCCACAAAAATCATAAAATGTATGAACGTTTTGTGCTAATTACCCTTTAAACAATGTGAAAGTTATCCCTTAATACTTATAAGCTTACGCAAACATGATATAGAAGACATACTCTCCATTCAATTAGGCACAATTCAAAACTCTTTCCCTTTACGTATCTTACTAAAACAGTGTCGTTACAATATTCCACCCTTTTTAGAGATTCTCTTGTTGCTTTTAGAATCAATTGTTGCTTTGACAATTCAACTTCATACAAGACCGCTAAAGCAAGAATTGTATAAAAATAATAATTTTTAACTCCTTTTCATTTCTTCAGCATGTTTTTATTATTTTTCTGGGTGATCTTAAGAATAAGTTGACTTAAAGATAAAGCCAGATAAAGGTTTTTTTTTTTGTTTAGTCTATTCTTTTGGAAGCCAGATTATAAAATTATGAAGCAAAGCATATATCTTTTCCCTGCAGATGCCATTGTTATAAAACACATGGCCATTCGTTCTGTTCAATTCATTCAACAAAACCATATTGAATTTTCGTAAGAATGGAGCTCGAGTTGGGACTGAAGTTTGATAGGGTTGTCGATGATTTCTCATCAACTGATTTTAAAATTGCTAAAGATCGTGCTGGTCCAGTTTTCTTGTCCAGAGAGACAGATTTCATGTTTATCCTCACCGCTCATCTCAAAGGTACTCTGTTATGTGTTCTATTCGAATTTAAATAAACACGTTTACATGACAGAGGTACAGAGTTAAACCTCCCTCTGTCAGCCATATACTTGTGAAAATTGTGCACGTTTAAGGTTTTCATTGAAAATGAATTAGGCTGGATAAGAGAGAGCGTGTTGAAGACTAAAATTTGACAAATAGACGTGTTCCATTTTTTAATAGTTCAAGCTTTTTGATGAAATAGTTCAACACTATATAAACGTACATATTGGCCTGTTCTTATGTTACTAATCATGTCTGAATTTTTATAATCCCAAATTTGCAGGTTATAGGAAACGAAACATAAAGATGGACATAAACGAGGATGGGACACTAATTACAATAGCAGGTGAAAAGCATGTCCAGGAGACAGTATTTGTGCATTGGAAAATGTACAAGAAAGATACTGAGATTAAGGGATTCAAGAAGGTTTTCAGAATCCCTGATGAAGTGATTTTGGACAAAATTGAGGCAAATTTTGATGAAGATGAATCCATTTTAACAATTTCAATGCCAAAGAAGGTTAGAGGAATTCGCGGGACTGCCATTGAGGAAGTTAAGGATCAGAGTGCAATTGAACAGGGCCCTGAAAATTTGCAAAATGTGGTTGAAGAAATCCCTGAAAATGATCGAACTGATAAAGAACCAGAAATTTCGACCAAAAAAGATGGAGATCAATCTGCTGAAGAAACCAAAACGACAGAAGAATTGAAAAATCAGGTACATAAAAATGAAGAAGTACGTAATGGTGCTGAACCGTCGGGTCTAAAGCAGTTGGTAAACAAGGATCGGCAAGAAGAAGAAAATGAAAATAGGATTCAAGAAGAAGACGAAGTGTCTCCTGTAATAAAACAGGCTGAAGAATCTGAACCTGGAAAAACACAGGATAAGCCTAATGGAAAAAGATGCAATAAAATGTGTCTTCCTGTTGTTGCAGGATCAGCTTTGATTCTGTCATTTGTAGTATTTGTTATTCAAATGATTAGAACAAAACATCAAGAGAGCAAGAAAAGAAATTGAATTATAGGAACGTTATTGTATTTGTTTGTCTTAGGTTTTGCAGTCTGCAGTCCTGTTAGAATTTGTAAGACGTGTCTAGAATATTTAAGTTGTCGTTTCTTATTTTATTATGTATTTTACTTTAACGACGATGGGTGAAGAATGAAATGAAAAAGGAAAACGGAGTAATTAATGAGTTTGCATAAACTAAAGTGTAAATAAGCAGCTAAATCTAATGATTCCAAAGTAGGCTTTACATATATAAACCTAGTACACCTCTCTAGACCATCATCAGCAAAATTGGACAACTCAAACTCAAAGCTCTTCGAAAAAATGAAAACCCGAGAACCTGCATTCCAATCAAGGCACCATCATCAACGCCCTAATTGTAAATAATAATGCTATCTATCATTAGTGATGATCATCCGTAATCTATGTAGCAGTGGATCCTAGACATTGTATTAAATCGAGGGACCATTGCATTCCGTTTTTCGTTTCCGCACAACATGTGACTATTCGTTGAGAGACATTGACACAACAATTATACCGAAATAAGTGCAATCACATGTTTGCATTTAGTATCGTGCATTGTGTTGTGTCAATCATGTGAACTACTAAACTACACTAACAATTGCAGAGGATGTTTATGTACCTGTCTAACATGGTCCCCATTAGTGGGCAAAGGCCGAATGGTGGCGGAATCCACCTCTCCGGCGGGCAGCGGCACGGCTGGATTGCTGTTGATAAATGGGATGCCTTCTTTATCCGGTGCTGTAGGGCTGGTGTCACCGCCTGGAAGTTCTACGGTACTGGGTGCAGGGCTTGGAGAAGCGTTTTCTCGTGGCTGAAATGGCCAAGGGAATGCTGGAGAAGATGCCACAACACCGCCAGAGCTCAGCGGTGGAGCCGCAGTCGGTGGTGGCAATTCAGGGGAGGCATTTGGAGGCGCTGATAATGTGACCTTCACAGTTAGCTTTTGGCCCTCTAAACATGCTTTGTTAGAGCCATTGTTGAAGGAGAAGTAGAAGAATCCAGGGCGTGATGTGTGCCACTTAAATTTCAAGAAAAAATCACAAAAAAAAATAGTAAATTATAACATTTATAATACAAGATGCTAGTGACCAAGGTTAACAGTAAAATCCAACGTCGATTAACTACTACTCTTCTTGATAACATTAACCAATTAAAGTATAATTTCAAGTCTTGATTTGATAACAGAGTCTATTAAGCTCAAACGAACAATTCTATCAGTTTAAAACTCAAATGAGCATTAGGATTTAAATATTAATGTGCTCAAATGAGTCACCATAAGGCAAGTTAAATCCCCAACAGTTAACCATAAACAATATTAACCAATAAATGGACTGATTGAAGTTCTTTTGCTACTTACAGTGTAAGATGTGGAATTGGGTTTTGTGAGAAGTGTAGCTTGAGAAAAGTTACAGAGACTGAAGGCATTCTGGTTCTGGAAAATGTAGAGATTGTAGCGATATTTGTGCTGGAAAACTGTAAAAACAAGAAAACACAAAAGTAAATGCAGGTCCATTTTTACACTTGTAGCTCTAAATAATTCAGCAAAATAAACACGTACTGACAGCATCTCCAACTTGAACTTGAGGATTTCTCCATTCTGAAACTCCATCCACAACTACTGTGGCAGACTCAGAAAGTTGAAACTGAAGCAGTAGAGTCACAACAAAGTAGAAAAAGATCAACATTGAGGAAAATCCCATAAGTTCTTACACTGTTTTCCTTGTGAAAATTAAGTAATTTTTTCTGGGACTCAAGAAAACAGGATTCTCAGAAGAGTGTGTTTTGGGGAGTCTGAATTGTTGGGTGGGAGTGGTGGGTGAGATTTTGGAGAATCTGTATTTATGAATAAGATTATACAGTAAAAAGTGAAATGATTTTGTCCGAGAAATAATTATTGAAAGAGTGTGTAAAAAAGAAAGAGTATTGTGTGGATGAATAAATTTGGGTGGCTGTGATTAGTGATGATGGGTATTATTATTCTAAAATGATTAGTGCTGTGATTATATGTCTGAAAACAGATATTATTGAGTACTATTTTAAGGTTTTTTTTTTTTTTTTTGTGGAGTGTAGTTACTTTAGGACCTTTTGACATTCTTATGAGAATTTAATAATCTTTTGTGATTTTACTAAGTAAAATTATACTCCTAGGAAACAAAGTGATTTGAGTGACTCAGAAAATTGTCTATTTATCTTTTGACTGGAAGCAAATTCTATACTCAGTTCCCAACTACTAGATTTGGATCAACAACTTACTTCTTGTCCAGTGCAATCAATCAAGTTCCTCGACTATTTCTGTACTTGTGAGAAAATCGATTGAATTAATAGATTTATCCTTCTAGATGTCGCTTTTTATGTGTACTTCTTTTGTCTTTAATTTTTCTTTTGAGCTAAGAAAAAGTATCCCACACTGATATTTTTCGAAATTGTAAAATTGGCATTTCTTGAATGGAATTTTGTGTTTACGAAATTTTCATCAATAAAAATCAAGTTTAAGTTTCGATTAAGATGTTTTACTGTTTATAGTTAAATATGAAATTTAAAGATCAATTATCTTGTTGATGAAAAAGCGTGGTTTTTCTTGTAATGCTTAAACATAAACCAATAAAAAGATTAGTCGATGAAGAAACTTTTAACAGTTCACGGAGAAATTAAGGAACGAGAAAGCAGTGGAATTTGGATTGCACCTGTTGGAGTTTACTATTGGATTTGTGTCTTGTCTGTTTCCATTCTGACTTTCTCCTATGTTTGATATCGACAATAGTTAATTGAAATAATTTTAGCCTAAGTTTAGAAACGTTTATAAATTACTTAATTTATAAATAAATATAAATAAGTGCTTAACTGTTGTAAATGGAAAGTCCATTAAAGTTTATTGGTGAATGACATTTGTACCCCTGTAGCCCTAGAAATTATTACCATTGTATCCCTGATTCTTACCTATAAATATAGGGCTTTGGTTTTCAATAATATACACAAAAAGTTTATTGAGTTTTCTCTATTCTCTTTTCCTCTCATTTTATAACACGTTATCAGCACGAAACTCTTAGAAGGTAGTAATTTTTTTTCATAATCATATATCATGTATATCAAAATTAATTTGATAATACGTGAATTTTACATATACATATGTTGAATCTGCAATACGTGATCTCATCTTTCTCGATCATTATGTTTTCTTTGTACCTCTCTTTGAATTAATTAATATTTTTTTCCTTTACATCAATCCACGTGCATTTTTATGAAGATATATTTATGTTAAATCAATTGATATCCATTAATTCATGTTCCTATACCCTCCTTATATTTAAATTAGCCTTTTACGTTCTACATATGCTTATAATTTTTTTTTGGTTTAATTGGTTAATGTTCTTTGTAAGCAAGCTTCAATTCCAGATCTCTATTTTGGCTGATTCCATGTATATATAATATACAATTAACAAATAACTATACCCAACTCATTTTTTTCTCTCAAATCCATTGGTTTCTGCAAATTTCATGCCTTAATTGGTTAATACTAATTCAATTCTTTTAATTGCACATAATTAGAATTTCGTGCCATAATATGTGAATATGTTTCTACATGTCATTAATTTTTTTTGTGTTTCACTCGACTCACGTTATTAATTCAAAATAATATTTTAGATGTGTTTGTATATTAATTAATGGTGAGCAATTGGATGCATTATCATTTTTTTTATGTTTAGTAATGAAACATTACATTAAATTTATTTTTAATTGTTGTTGCCCTTGAAGTAGTACAACATTATAATTAATATTTCAGAAGAATATTAATCATAGATCTATTCGTTGTTACTCCATAAGTAGCACAACATTATAAGAATATTATTTGCTCCTGAAGAAATAAATTATAACTCTCAATATTCCAAAAGAACATTGACATATTGCACTTGAAGAAATAATAGCAAAGTATAATGTGCTCCAGAAGTAGCATATGTTTCGAAAAACATATTATTTCAAATTAGTGTTTATCCCTAGAGAAAAATACGTAACTTAAAGTCATGTTGATATTGACTATTTGATTAATATGTGATGATTAATCATATTCTTCAAAACTAATTGTATTTTTTTTATTGTGTAGTTAAACAAATGACAAACATTACGAAACTTGAGTTTGTTGCACTTGACATATCTAGTAAAAATTATCTGTCATGGATACTAAATGCTGATATCCATCTCGTCTCAAATGGTCTGGGAGAGACAATAAAAGAAAGAAACAATGAATCCCTGCAGGATCGTGCAAAAGCACTCATTTTCCTCCGTCGCCATCTTCACGATGGATTAAAAATTGAATATCTCACTGAGAAAAATCCACAAGTTCTTTAGAAAAAGCTAACTGAAAGATTTGATTATCAGAGGACTATAGTCCTCCTCAAAACCCGTTATGAGTGGATGCACCTTCATTTGCAAGACTTTAAAACGCTTAGTGAGTACAATTCTGAATTGTTCAGAATATATTCAAAGTTAACTTTGTGTGGAGAAAAAATCACCGATAAAGATATGCTGGAAATAACTTTCTCCATCTTTCATGCCTCGAATGTGCTCCTGCAGCAGCAATATCGTGAGCATGGCTTCAAAAAGTACTAACAACTTATATCTTGCCTACTAGTTGCTGAACAAAATAATGAATTGTTGATGAAAAATCATGGAATACGTCCAACAGGTTTTGTACCATTGCCTGAAGCAAATGGTACTACATTGTCTGAAGCAAATACAATATCAAGATAAGGACGTGGACACGGACGTGTACGTGGAATAAATCATGGAAGAAATAATCAACAAAGTTATCAACAACAAGGCAATAAATTCAAAAGGCACAAAGCGAACGAGAGTGGCAAATCTAAAAGGAGCATGAAGAAAGTTGCTTCAGATGTGGAATGAAAGGGCATTGGGCACGTACGTGTCGTACCTCAAAACATCTTGTGGATCTCTACCAGAGATCAATCAAGGGAAAGGAAAAATTGGAGACTAATTTTGCTGATTATGATGGTCCAATTGATGTGACACATTTGGATGTCTCCGATTTCTTTACTGATCCAAATAGAAATATTGACCATTTGGTTGGGGGTGGTGTGATAGAAGATATAGATTAATTTACTAGTATTTCTTTCGTTTTAAAAATTCAATTTGAAATATATTTTTACTTTTCCGCACAAAAATAAAAAAATAATAAAACTCTATTATGCACCGTTTATTTCATGATATTAAGTAATGTTTACTTCTTTAAATCTAAATTCAATTTTTTTTATTTTGTTATATTTATAGATTCATGATGGATAGTCAAGACAGTTTCTTAATTGATAGTGCAACTACACATACTATTCTTCAATACAAAAAATACTTTCTGGACTTAATATTAGTTGAAAATAATGTTAACACGATATCGAGTGAATCGAATATCGTTGAAGGCTCCGAAAGAGCTTGTATTATTTTACCAAATAATAAAAAATTATATATTGACGATGCACTTTATTCTAGCAAATTTAGAAGAAATTTGCTTAGTTTTAAAGCTATTCGCTGCAATGAATATCACATTGAGACGATGCAAGAAAATAATATTGAATATCTTTGCATCACTTCTTTTGTATCGGCAAGAGGCAGATAAAAGAAAATTTTCATGCACTTCCGTCTGGCATGTATTTTACATTTATAAAAATGGTCGAATCAAATAATGTTACGAACCAGAAGTTCGTTGATTCAAAAAGTTTTATACTTTGGCATGATCGACTTAGACATCCAGGAGCCACAATGATGCGTCGAATAATAAACAACTCACATGAACATCCTTTAAAGAACCAGAAGATTCTTTTATCTAATGATTATCCATGTGTAGCTTGTTCACAAGGCAAGTTAGTCATTAGACCTTCAACTACAAAGGTCAATATTGAATCTCCAACTTTCTTGATAAGAATACATGGAGATATATGTGGGCCAATACACCCACCATGTGGACCATTTTGTTACTTTATGGTATTAATTGATTCTTCTACAAGATGGTTACATGTTTGCCTACTTTCAACTAGGAATGTAGCATTTGCTAGACTACTTGCTCAAATCATAAAATTGCGAGCACAATTCCCCGATTACTCAATCAAGACTATTCGTCTTGACAATGCTAGTGAATTTAGATCACAAGCATTTGATGATTATTGTATGTCAATTGGGATTGAAATTGAACATTCAGTTGCACATGTTCATACACAAAATGGTTTAGCGGAATCGTTTATTAAACGTCTACAACTTATTGCTAGACCATTACTTATGAAAACAAAACTCCAAACTTCTGTTTGGGGTCATGCCATATTACATGCTGCATCATTGGTTCGTATAAGACTAACTGTCTATCATTAATATTCACCTTTGCAACTTGCATTTGATCATGAACCTGATATATTTCACCTACGGGTTTTTGGTTGTGCTGTCCAAGTTCCTATTTCACCCCCACAACGTACTAAAATAGGTCCCCAACGAAGACTTGGAATTTATGTGGGTTTTGATTTACCATCTATTATTAGATATTTTGAACCTTTAACGGGTGACTTATTTACTACACATTTTGCAGATTGTCATTTTGATGAAATGACTTTCCCAACTTTGGGGGGAAAAAAACTACATCCTGAAAAATAAGATAGAATTTCTTGGAATGAGACAATTCTATTTCACTTTGATCCCCACAGCAATCAATGTGAACAAGAGGTTGAAAAAATCATTCATTTGCAAAGAGTTGCAATTCAACTACCTTATGTATTTGTTGACACGAGAAAAATGATAAAGTCATATATTCCAGCAGAAAATATTCCAGTAGAAAATATTCCAGCAAAAATTAATGTCCCTACAGGACAATCTTCTGTGGCAAATGAATCTCAAATACGCTAGAAGTGTGGTCGACCAGTTGGTTCAAAAGACTCTGTACCTCGAAAAAGAAGAGTACAGGAGAAAAACCAACCAAAAATTTCAGAAAAAATCACATTAGAAAAGATTGATCAATCAAATATTGAATGTACGGTTCTTGAAGAACCAAAGGTGTCCAAAAATAATGAGATCTCAATAAATTATATGATATCTCAAAAATTATGGGAACGGAATAATATTGTTATAGACAATATTTTCGCCTTTAACATGACTTTTGATATTATGCAAAATGAAGATCATGAACCACATTCTGTTTAATGACTGTCGAAATAGAAATGATTGGGCAAAATGGAAAGAAGCCATACAGGCAGAATTGAATTCTTTGGAGAAATGAAAAGTGTTTGGACTAGTCGTTCGAATACCTGAAAATGTAATCCCTGTTGGATATAAATGAGTTTTTGTACGAAAGAGAAATGAGAATAATAAAATTACAAGATACAAAGCCTGACTAGTGGCTCAAGGTCTCTCCCAAAGACCGGGAATTGATTATGAGGAAACATATTATCCCGTAATGGATACCATCACTTTTAGGTTCTTAATTAGTTTGACTGTGTTACAAGGGCTCGATATGTGCCTTATGGATTTAATAACTGCCTACCTATATGGTTCACTTGACATTGACATTGACATATATATATATATATGAAAGTCCCTGAAGGATTTAAGGTGTCAGGAATAAATGATGCATGTCCGAGAACTATGTTCTCAATTAAATTGCAAAAATCATTATATGGATTGAAACAATCCGGACGCATGTGGTATAATCGCCTTAACGAATATTTATTGAAAGAGGGTTATAAAAATGACGATATCTGCTCATGTGTTTTCATAAAGAAAACAAATATTGGATTTGCAATTGTGACAGTTTATGTTGACGATTTAAATTTAATTGGAACTCCTGAAGAGCTCAACAAAACTGGAGATTATTTGAAAAATGAATTTGAGATGAAAGATTTGGGGAAAATCAAATTTTGTCTTGGATTACAAATTGAACATTTTCTAAAGGGATTATTTGTTCATCAATTTACTTATACAGAAAAAGTCTTGAAACGCTTTTATATGGATAATGTACATCCATTGCCATCACCTATGGTTGTTCGATCACTTGATGTGAAAAAAGACCCATTTCGTCCACTTGAAGATGGAGAAAAGATTCTTGGTCGTGAAGTACCATACCTTAGTGCAATTGGAGCATTAACTTATCTTGCAAATTGCACTCGACCTGACATAGCTTTTTCTATAAATCTCCTTGCAAGATATAGCTCTACACCAACTCAAAAGCATTGGAATGGTGTTAAACATATTTTTCGTTACCTAAAAGGTACTATGGTGATATGAGTCTGTTTTATTCTAAAAAGTCAGGATCTGCTTTAGTAGGATATGCAGATGCAGGTTATTTCTCTGATCCACATAAAGCTAAATCACAAACATGATATGTGTTTACACGTGGAGGAACAGCTATATCATGGAGATCTGTGAAGCAATCCTTGACAACAACATCTTCAAATCATTCTGAGATTATTGCAATCCATGAAGCAGAGCGAGAATGTGTATGGTTGAGGAATATGACCCATCATATCCAATCATCATGTGGATTGATTTCAACAAAAGATAATCCAACAATTTTGTTTGAAGATAATGCAGCTTGTATCACACAACTCAAGAGAGGCTATATCAAAGGCAACAGGACGAAGCATATTTCTCCGAAATTCTTTCATACACATGAATTTCAGAAGAATGGTGACATTGATATTCAACAAATTCGCTCAAGTGACAATGTGGCTGATCTATTAACAAAAGCGCTGCCATCATCTGCATTCAAGAAATTAGTTCATGAGATTGGAATGCGTCGACTCAAAAATTTTCAGTGATCAACATCAGGGGGAGTAGCTGTACTCTTTTTCCTTCGCTTAGGTTTTGTCCCATTGGGTTTTCCGAGCAAGGTTTTAATGAGGCAGCATTTAATTTTAATACTTCAAAATAACTGTACTATTTTTCCTTTGTTTGATTTTTTTCCAATTGAGTTTTTATCAAACAAGGTTTTAACGAGGCAAATATTTTGTAATATGTCATTCAAGGGGGAGTATTGTAAATGAAAAATCCATTAAAGTTTATTGGTGAATGACATTTGTACCCCTGTAACCCTAGAAATTATTACCATTGTATCTCTGATTTTTACTTATAAATATAGGGCTTTGATTTTTAATAATACACACAAAAAATTTATTGGATTTTCTCTATTCTCTTTTCCTCTCATTTTATAACCCAATATTAACGATTTATAAATTTTGGCAAAGGATCAATCATAATCAAATTTTAATTACAATCACACATTAGCAACTAATCATCACTATCCACACATTTCACGAGATCTGTTACTATTTATACACCCTTATAAATTTGTCAAATGAAAGCTTTAATGTTGAAATTCAACCATATGATGATGTTATTTAAAAATAGATAAATTGATAAAATAAATATAAGGATCCGTTTGATTGCAAAGATAAAATTGAATTGTCTAGAAAACGAATTTCAGGTAATTGAGTTGTCTAGAAATCGTTTTCCTGGGAATTGTAAATTATTATGTTTGATTGGTATAATTTTTTACGTGTAAAATATTTAAATAAAAGTATTTTTTGGAGTTTATTTGGTTTTGTTTTACATGAAAATTGTCAATTACTATCAAACAAGTCATTTTGTGAGAAAGGATTTCCATTTCCGTTTTCTAGGAAAAACAAGGGCCAATCAAACAGGCCCTAACTTCTTTGAGACAGAGAAAATAATTGAGCAATGCTACTAAAACAGGGAGAGCTCACAGGATTTGAATCTAAGGGAAACATGTCATGCATTGTTTGGACAGTTTAAAAAAAAAAGACCAAAAAGGTACTGACACTCAACACCTATTTAAAAAGGTTGAACCCCCAAACTTGAGGACCCCTAGAACATCGTAAGGGAGGTAAATTGCGGGATGTGTCCCAACAGATCAGGGAACAAGAGTTTACCTATACATTGGTACTCACAAAGAGTCCAATTTCATATCTTAAAAATCGAACACTCACACTGCGACTGTCAGTAAGGCTAAGACTACCTCACTCATGTCCTTTGCACCACTGGGTTATATCACGGGAGGCCGCAATGCCTATTTTCAAACCTTGTTGGTTGCCCTTGTTAGAGTAGCGTAAGTCTGCCTTTTAATAGACATCGAACATTTATCGGAAATTTTAAAACACACTGTATTTGTCAAAGTTTGAAAGTATCAAGAAATTTTGATGCAATTGAGACTTGGAGAATATCTTTTCGTCCTTATTTGTGGCTGTGGTTGTTGGTGGGTGGTAGAAGAAGATACCATATTTTAAAAATTCTTTGCATTTATTATCATTATTATTGAATTTTTTTAGTAGACGAGTGGGGTAAAATAGACGTATGGATGGCGATTCTTGAGTAACAAGTCCCTGGACTTTGGCTTTCCCTCCCCTATGGCTTTTGGTAATGGTACTTTGATCAACTAGTCAAGTGCACGCATTTATAGAGAAAATTGAAGGAACAAAGGATAATCCGAGTGTATATATAAAATTTAAAATGATAGAGATGATTTCCACATAAATAATAAAAGATTTGTATAAATAACAACAAAAGTACAGAAATATAATAATAATAATACAAAAATCATCTAATGTTCACCAGCTTTGGCAATACTCAAAGCTGTATTCAACAAAGTTTTCAAACCCTCAAGGGACTCAATATTTACATGTACCCTTTTCTTCTTCCATGTATCAAACCCGAATTCTCTATCCCGCCTTGCGCTAACATTCCAAGACTTCCCTTGCAAGAATCTAAATCAGCAATGGCAGCATTCACAAATTTAACAGCATCAAAATATGCTTCAGAAATGGCTGCATTAATCGAATCTTCGACTATCTCGACTAGGGTTTTATAATGCTCACTGCAATCTGTAATAGCTCGTTGAACAATGGGAACCAACTCCGGGTTCAAAAGCAACTTCTTCATGTATAATGCAGTTTTCGTAGCGTCGTCTTCTGCACCGACTGCACGTTTTAGACTAGTTTTTTGGCGCGCAGGAGCTGATTTTAGAAAATGAATGCATTGGTTTTTGTAGGTGAATTCGTGCATGCACTCGTGATTAGACTTGTATTCGAGAAATTTGGGTTTTCTTTAAAAAAAAAAAAAAAAGAAGGTTGAACCCCAACCTTGAGAGCACTCACGGCCCAGTCCCTTGAGTTTTGTGAGAGAGATAAATCGTGAGATGTGCCACAACAGGTCAGGGAACAAGAGCTGCCTGTACACTGCGCCTACAAGGAGTCCAATTCCATGTCCCAGGAATCGAACCCCTATACTGCGGCTACCAACAAGGCGTGAAATAACCTCACTCCTATCCTTTACACCACTGGGCTACATTTGGAGGCTAAAGCAAAGTGTGATAACCAATAAAGAAAGGAAAGAAAATGTATTCATTTCTTGTTTTATCATTTTTTCTCTAACTTATATGAGATTTCTTTTAAACGATGATCTTTTTTCTGACTATTTAAGATTTGAGGGTAGGTAAAATATTTCGTCAAGTCAATGACTTTTGTAATAAGAAATGATTCATGAGTGCAATTTAAGTTTTTAGACGTAGAAAGAGTTCTTAATTCTTAAGGTACTACGTATAATGTGGTCATTAGTTAAAAGGCATCAAAAAATAACCACACGTTGTTACTTAAGCATGATGTACCGAATACTTTGATCCAAATTATTGACATAAAATTTATGTGTGTGGAGACAGTTATTTTTACTTACTTTTGTGGCCAACGTTTTCTATAAGTGTATGATTGTCCATATATTGGGGTCATTCACAAATACGTGAATAACATTTTTTTTTCCTAAATGAGACTCGCTCGGGACGACTTATTTTACAAACTATAAATGATTAGGATCATTGATTGGCCTCGGTTTGGAAGAATTTCTAAACAATTAATTTATAAATGGATTGTAAGTCAATTGGAATGCGTGGTTGAAAATAAAATTTATTTATATGTATATGATTTATAAATTTTGTATGGAGACCAAACTTTTGAGTTTATTTTTGCCTTTTGATTAATTTTATGAAGAAATAAAAAATAAAAATAGGGTACTTCTCTAACTTCAAAGTCCAATCCACATTTACACCCCCAAAGACCAATTGCATGTGATGACAACTCACATCTTCCTTCTTAGGTCCGGATAAAAAGAAATTCCACTAACTTTATAATCAATTTACTTTGTCTTCTTGCTAACATATTCTTAAAGAATTGATACCCTACGTTGTCTTTTGATAATAGGTTTCGAGTATACTTTGACCAGATATTATCTAGTGACTATTGTCAATCTTGTAGCATCACTATTAGGCTCAAAAAAATTGTAGCACCTGCAATAGAAAGTAGATTCTACGAATAACGATATACGGTGAGATCGATATAGCTTTAAGGACGCCCCCTCTCAAAAAAAAAAAAAAATCAGAGAAAAAGGGAGAGTTTAAAGAGCATGGCATAATTAAACCAATAGGGTTCATTATCTCAAAATTAATGAAGATATAGCTACAAAAGTTACCACGATAGACCACAAGCTGTTGGTAGAGGTCTCAATCGAAGCCGGAACCACTAGCACAACCGAGTCTATGCTAGAAAATCAAGCCTAAGCAAGGGGGGTTTGGAATATGCACCGAATAATGATAAATTGAGAAATGATTTATGTGATTTAAATATGTTTTGATAAACTTATCAAGACTTCCCTTTATTTAGAAAAAATAATAATAATAAAAATTTCTAACATAATGTATAAGATCAAGGAATGCAGATGTTTTGTTGTGTGAACAAGAGAATTCGCACCAATTATTTGAAAATGAGGCAACATAATTCCTAAGTCAAAGCAGCACATTAATGAGTTCTACGATCACCCAACAAAATCACATGGGACTCCATTCAATATACAGTTATCCTATTTCAACCGTACTCAAGTCACTTGTCACGGCTAAGATCGATGCACCTTCCAATGTACACTGAACTTCACCATCTGCAAAATTCTTCAAATTGAGGGGCAAAAAATAAAATAAAATTAATTTGATTATAATTTACGCATGTTTGACGGGACTTCTACTTCTTATAGAAGAGATTTTCAAAGAAAGTACCCTAAGTTACTTTTCTTTAAAAGATCTTCTAACCAAATAAAGCACTTTTAAAAAATTATTCAAATATGTTCAAAACAATTTTTAAATTTCTGAAGTAACTTTTGACTTTTTAAAAATCGTGACAAATGGATACTAAGAGTTATTCGCATTTACCAGTTAATAGCCAATTATCTCACGCGAAAGCTCTCCCATTCTTGATGAAACCTGCATCCACTGTTTTCCTCTTGTTCTTTAAATCCATAATTCGTGGTGTTTTTGGGTTTTTGCCTTTAGGTAAAAGGAAATTAAATTACTAATAAATATACAAATATATATTAAACACAAAAAAATATAAATAAAGTGATCAACAAACAAACCAGTTTGAGCTTCCTGGAAATTATCGTGAAGACGCTTTCTAGCTGAAATCTGATACTGAGAAACAGAACCATCTTGAATATCAACATTAGGAAGAACTTCAAGGTCAATCCTCCCATGATCTTGAAAAAATAAAAATAAAAAATCCTTAGTCACATCAAAAAACATGATAAACTACCTAAGCTCGATCGATTTTCTATTGTTGTTCAATTCAACGTATCAAAAACATCGATAATTGAGATAATAGATTTGTTTTACCGCCAAATGAATCGGTTTCTTGAGGGGGAGTATTCAATCTAACCCATTCATCCACAGTATCCTTCCATTTCCTATCATATCGAACACAATTTTGTCAGCTAAAACAATCACACAAATGAATGCAATATCACACGTACTTTTTGTCCGAAGTCCAAACCTGATAAGAATCTTAACCAGTCTACGAACATCATTCGACCAATGTTTTCGCAGTCGAGTTGCGTGTCTTCCTATATCGGTTTCCTTAAAATAAATTGCATAAAATAAATAAAAGAAAATTTCAACCTTTCAAGCTTAAAAATGAATTTCTTTAATTATCATTACCTTGAGGGTTTTGAAAGTAATATTCATGTCCGCTAGACTTTGAAGCAGTTCAACCAAACAACCCTCGGACTATAAAATTCAGTTACAAGAAAGAAAAAAATGTTCAATCCTCTCGAGTTCTGAGTACAATACATACGCTAATTAAATGAAAACTCGAGAATAGAAACAAAACCTGAGTCGGGTCATCCAAAAGATTCTTAATTTCAAGGATATTCTTCTGATGATCATCTTCTTCATTCATATCCACCATCTTCTCTGCTTGCAATTCTTGTTTTGACTGAAAATTTTCAATCTTTTCAGTTTCTTTACCTTCTGATCCATTGAAAACGCAGCTATTACACCTCGAAAATGCCTGTGCATAAAGCCTTTCGATGATCCCATCCCTTCTGTTCTTCAACTCTTTCTCATGATCTTCACATGCCACAGTGATTGCCATATCCATAACTGTCCAAACATCAAGCCCTGAATCCTCCATAAATGAACGAAACATATTCAAATCCATTTCAGAATTCTAAGGATTTTCTTAGTCCAAGATTTTTTCTCTGATTTTCTTGAAAAGGCTCATATTTTTAAGAACGAAAATAGTTTTTGGTGTCTTTTAGTAGAGAGAAGTACGGGTAATTTTTGGTGTCTGTGTATTTGGGAAGTGGGAGTCAAACTTTTAGGGCTAGATTCAATGTGGGTTTCGTCCCTTCGGTTACTTGATTATCTTGTCAATTAATTTGAAATGACCTACGTGTCAATGTCTAAGCTACTATAGCTCATCGTAGAGTAATTTGATGGTTGAATCGATAACCCTGATGACATTCAATATATAATCAGGTCGATCGAGTATGGTCAAATGAAAAGATTAGAGCATGGAGATAAATTGGCTAGCATTTTGTTGGGCAATTCTATCCAAATTTCAAAATGGGTGACCTTTTTAGTGCACAAATGATACCGCAGCGAAGTCAAAAGTTGATGAGTTAGAGTGGGGGCCAATTTCTTAATTTTGACTCTTGAATCTCAATCCATGCTACTATATTTTAGTGAAAAAAAATGTGAAAAAGTAACAGATCTTATCTTGATGTTGCGTTCCCAATTCCCAAATTCCAAGTTGGAAGTTGATGATCCTAGATCTTATCAATCTCAAACTCAATTCATGAACCCCGATCACTTCTCATGAACCCCGATCTTAATACCCCCTAAAACTACCGAACCAAGGTCAGGCATGTGAGGTCGTGTCTGTATGTCAACTCGTCAATCCTTCTATATGATCTATGAGAACACTAATCCTACTTTGACTACAACCCTTACCCTTTTTGGCTCCTTCTTCGACTCCAACAATGGTTGAACACTTGGAATGAAACACTAACTCTTTATCCTACGAGGATAAGGATCACACGTGGGCGAGTCCTTCTAGGACTCTATCGTCAACACCTATAACTACATAACCTGAGCTCATTCTTATGGTATGTTTTTCATTATCTCCAGTTTATAGCCTCACGCACTAAATTTCTTATTTGACTTAAGTATCAGAGGGACAACAAACACACACCTCGTTGCCTTTGTTTCAGATATTTGAAGATCATTCGTGTTCACCCAAGCTCGAAGTTCGATCATTGAGCTCGAGATTATTCAGGTACTATTTTTTGGTAGCATCATTGGCGTCGTCTGTAGGAAACGCTACCAAAAGTCATGGTCAATACACGTTCAGGTCTTCCTCCAGCAAGCTCATTCGTCCCGGACAACCCTCCTCCTTCTGAAGAACGCCATGTCCCTCAAGAAGAATCGTCGGAGATGCCAGCACCTTTTTTAACCTGTTGTTTCCGCCGGAGCTTTTGAGGAACTTCCCTACCAGGTGGTTGCATTAACCCAATTGTTAAGCTAGAGAAATTCGCACCCATCACATACCCTAACCCCCGAAGGTGGTTTTATGGCAGACGTCTGGGCTCTAGTCCATCGTACAACTCTTGATGACGGCCGACGTGATCCAAGAATCAAGCTTGAAAACGACGAGTTCGAGTCAAGACCCGTTGATTATCAACTGATGACGTGATCGAGAGCAAAGCAAGTGAAACAAGCGATGGGATTACTCGTTCAAGAAACCATTGATGGGACGATGTTCTGGACTCAAAATGAGACAAGTTTCATGTTCGGGTCGAAAGCCGAATTAAAGTGGATCAACTCAATACAAGTGGACGAAAACGGAGGTTAAAGTAACAACCATGCAGCCGCATTGTTTTAAAGTGGTGCGGCCACACAGACCCATGCAGGGTTTTCTCGAGGGGTGACAGTTTCTTCCATGCGACCGCATGGAACAAAAATCCGGCAGAATTTTCCTATTCTGCGAATTTCCTTATTTTGTTAGAATTTGATATCAATTAGACTTCTTTCCATATTTTGATGATTTTGCATGATTTTAGCTAGGTTGTTAGCTTTAGTATAAATACTCTCTCCATTACATTGTAAAGGATTTTTTTTGGCAATTATTATTGAATTCAAGTGAGGTTTTTGCTTTCTTTCAATTTGTTCTTCTTTGAACAATAATTTAGAACTTATCAAGGATAATTCCTTGTGGCGTTCAACACCGGATCGTGGGTTCTTCATTGCATCACCGTTATCTTTGGGTTCTTTGTTTCATCTTGTTGGGTTCAAATCCAAACTGGTTATCAATTGGCGTTCTTGGGTTCCGCATCAATCTAGTTGTGGGTTTCGTAGTTTAAGTTGCTATGGGGTTCGCATCAGTTGGTATCAGAGTTTTGGTTCCAATTTAATCAGGTTCTATCTTTAATTTTCTTGTTTATGTTGTAGTTTTCTTGATTTCTAAGTTTCTTCCTTGTTCTTGAGTCATTCTTCAATTCATTCATTCAATCCGTATTTTTCGTTGGTAATATAATCTCTTGTATTAAAAAAAATTACTTTTCACGTCAAAAAAAATTATTAATTGCTTGATTTGCTACAAACAAGTTCACATTCAAATTCTTAAAACCCAAAGTTCTTTGTTTTTCTTCAATTCTTCAATTTCGGCAATTAATCCGTTGAAATTTAGTGAGTCCATTCAAATTTCATTTCATTTGTTTCCAAATCTCTTGAAAATTATCCTCTTGACTTACATTTCGGGTTGAATCCGCAAGTTTTAATCCGGTGAGTTCGTTACTATTCTTGGAAGCTCTTAGTGAAAGCATTGAGTGATAAAAGGTAGAGTGGTGAGCTCATTAGAAGGTAAAAGCCAATTGTGTGATTTCAAGTGAAATTTGGTGAGGCAGAAATTGAGAGAATGTCTGAACAAGAAGGTTCTAACTCAAGCGGACACGGCTATCACAACAATGCATCGGAGGATTTGATACAGCGATTTGAACTTGCTTTTGGGGTTGTTAGAGATAGGCTAAATTAACAAGATGCTTGGAGAGCTAAGCATGAAGTTTGGACGACGAGGATGGATACATCAGTGGCTAATCTTAGTAGGGAGCCGTAGGTGGAGGTATCTAATGCTAGGAGGCCGAGGAGGCGGGAGCATAGGATGGAATGAGAAGCATTTGATCTGGGTAGTGAATGGGACGATGAGAAGTATGGAGAAGTGGGAATGGGACGGATGAGGAATATAGGTGGTAGGCCTGAACGATTGGGTAGGAATAATCACGGAGATGAGGCGGATGGGAATATGAGCAATATCAAAATGTCCATTCCTCAATTTAAGGGGAGGAATGACCCAGAGGCGTACTTGGAGTGGGAAAGGAAGGTGGAATTAATTTTTGAGTGCTATAATTATTCGGAGGAAAAGAAGGTGAAGTTAGCGGTGTTAGAGTTCATTGATTACGCACTAACCTGGTGGGATCAAGTGGTTACTACACAGCGATGGTGTGGAGAAAGACCAATTAGTACTTGAGAGGATTTGAAGGCATTGATGAGGAAGCGGTTCGTTCCTAACCACTACTATATGGAGATCCATCAGAAGTTGTAGAGCTTGTATCAAGGGTCGAGGAGCGTAGAAGACTATCATAAGGAAATGAAAATACTCATGATCAAGGCAAATGTGATGAAGGATCGGGAAGCTACCATGGCACGGTTCTTAAACGGTCTAAATCGGGAAATTGCTAATGTAGAGGAATTGCAGCATTAAGTGGAGCTGGAGGACATGTTGCATGTGGCCATGAAGGTGGAGAAACAACTGAAGAGGAAGGAGACTACAAGGCAGTCGGTGAATACTTCGTCTTCTAACCCAAATTGGAAGTCGAAATGGGATGGTAATAATAAAGGGAGTGAAGCAATAGCCAGAGGAAGAAGTGAGTGGCAGAAGGGGAAAGATGAAAGTGCTAGTAGGATAGTGCCAACATCGGAGCCACAACCATCATGAAGCTGAGACATCAAGTGTTTCAGTTGTTTGGGGAGGGACACATGGCATCTCAGTGTCCTAACAAACGAACCATGGTGTTGTAGGACAATGGAGAGGTGGTAAGTGAAAGCGAAGGAGAGTGTGATGACATGCTGGCGTTGGAGGATGTTGATGATAAAGATGAGACGGAATTTGCCGTTGGGGAGCTGTTGGTCTCGAGGCGAGCACTTAACACTCAAATCAAGATAGATGATTTGGAGCAGCAGTGTGAAAACATATTCCACACTGGGTGCCAAGTCCACGATCAGGTATGTAGCCTGATTATTGATGGAGGGAGTTGCACAAATGTGGCTAGCACAACCTTAGTTGAGAAATTGGGTTTAGCATTATTGAGACACCCTAGGCCTTATGAATTGCAGTGGTTGAATGAGAGTGGGAAAGTTAGGGTAAATAAACGGGTGTTAATTAAATTTTCAATTGGGAGATATAGTGACAAAATTGTATGTGATGTGGTGCCTATGCAACCAAGTCATATTCTATTGGGGAGACCCTGGCAATTTGATAGGAAGGTTACACATAATAAGTGTAGGAATCGGTATAGCTTTGTCAAGGATGAGAGGTCCATTAGTCTTGCGCTATTAACACCGGTTCTGGTGTATGAAGACCAAATAAAATTGAGAAATGCGGAAGAAAGGAGAGCGAGAGAATCTACAAAAAGGAGAGAAGATAGTGAGCCTGTAAGTAAGAGAGAAAATAGTGAGGTGGTCGAGAAGGGGGAAGAGAGAAAAGTCACATGAGAGGAGAGAAAAGAGTCAGTTGAGCAGAGAGAAAAATGATCAATTGAGCAAAGAGAAAACGAGTCAACTGAACGGAGAGAAAAGCCAAAAGTGAACTTTTTTGCGAGGGGGAGTGAATTAAAAAAGGCTTTGAGTGATAAGAGACAAGTGTTGTTGTTAGTTTACAAGGACCCTCTCCTCTCCCTTGAGGAGTCTAACACCTCCCTCCCAAGCGTGATTAAGTCTTTGTTACAGGATTTCGAAGATGTGTTTCTGGAGGAGGTGCCAAGTGGATTGCCGCCAGTTCAAGGGATCGAGCACCAAATCAAATTCATACCCGAGGCTGTCATTCTAAATCGACCAGCTTACCGAGGCAATCCCGAGGAGACGAAGGAGCTTCAGAGACAAGTAGAGGAGTTGATGAGCAAATGTTACGTGAAGGAGAGCATGAGCCCGTGTGCTGTGCCTATTCTATTGGTGTCAAAGAAGGATGGGACTTGACGAATGTGCGTGGACTGCAGAGCTATCAACAACATTACGGTAAAGTATCGTCACCCTATTCCTAGGCTAGATGATATGTTTGATGAATTGCATGATGCTTGTATTTTTAGTAAAATTGATCTTAAGAGCGGATACCATCAAATTCGCATGCGGGAGGGTGATGAATGGAAAATGGCATTTAAAACTAAATATGGGTTATATGAGTGATTGGTTGTGCCGTTTGGTCTCACAAATGCACCAAGCACATTTGTGCGTTTAATGAA